TAAAAAAAGAGGAGTCTAAAATGTGACAAAGTTATGTATGGTTGTTTTCCATTTCCTCGACTTCAGTAAGGCTTTTGACACTGTCTCTCACAGAATCCTCATAGGCAAAACTCAGTATTTTGTGGACTTGGATGAGTGAACAGTGAGGTGGATTGAGAACTGGCTGAATGGAAGATCCCAGAGGATTGTATCAGTGACACAAGGTCTAGTTGGAGACCTGTTGCTGGTAGTGTCCACCAATGTTTAATATTGATCCCACTGTTGTTTAACTTACGCATCAGTGAATTGGATAAAGGACTAGATGCCTCTTCAGCAAGGTCACTGGTGACACAAATGTGGGAGCAGTTGCCAGTACCTGGAAGGGGTGTGCAGCCCTCCAGGAGGACCTTGAGAGGATGGAGAGATGGGCAGAGAGGAACCTTCTGAAATTCAACAAAGGCAAATGCAGGGTCTGGCACCTGGGGAAGAACAAGTCTCCACCAGTACAGACTGGGAGCCAACCTGCTGGAAAGCAGCTCTGTCGAGAAGGGCCTTGGAGTCCTAGTGAACAACAGGCTGTCTATAAGCCAACAGTGTGCCCTTGTGGCCAAGAGGCCAATGATATCCTGCATTTCCCCCAGACCGAGGGAGATGGCCCTCTCCCTCTACTTAGCCCTGGCGAGGCTGTGTCTGGAGTGCTGTGTCCAGTTCTGAGCTCCCCAGTACAGACTGGGAGCCAACCTGCTGGAAAGCAGCTCTGTCGAGAAGGGCCTTGGAGTCCTAGTGAACAACAGGCTGTCTATAAGCCAACAGTGTGCCCTTGTGGCCAAGAGGCCAATGATATCCTGCATTTCCCCCAGACCGAGGGAGATGGCCCTCTCCCTCTACTTAGCCCTGGCGAGGCTGTGTCTGGAGTGCTGTGTCCAGTTCTGAGCTCCTCAGTACAAGGGAGACATGGAACTCCTGGAGCAGGTCCAGCAGAGGGCAACAAAGATGATTAGGGGACTGGGGGATCTATCATATGAGGGTAGGCTGAGAGCTGGGTTTGTTCAGTCTCAAGAAGGGACAAATGAGAGGAGATCTCATCAGTGTTTCCAAGTATCTGAAAGGAGGCTCTCAAGAGGATGGAGCCAGGCTCTGCTTAGTGGTGTGGATCAATAGGGCAAGAGACAATGAGCAGAAACTGATGTGCATAAAAATCTATCTGAATATGAGGGAGAACTTCCTGTGCAGGTGACAGCACTGGAACAGATTGCCCAAAGAGGTATTGCACAGTGCTGTGCAATGTGCTCTAGGATGACCCTATTTGAGCAGGGACTGACCATGGTCCCTTCCAACCTTAGCCATTCTGGGATTCTGTGATTAACTCTCTGAATCTGTGAAAATCAAGTAGCAAAAGTGTATACAACTCCTCACTTCTTTAAATTAATTGGTGAGTTGTATAAGCAATTTCTTGCCTTTCTACAACAGTGGACTTACTAAATGAGACCTATCGGCTGCTTCAAGGGTAGAGGTAGAATTCATTTTATAAAAATGAATTGTAATTATTGTGGCAAGCATCCTGAGTGCAACCTCTTAGTTGCAAAATCAGACATCTGCTCTAACAGTTTTACTGTCCTTACGTACAGTTAGAGTTGTATGAAACTGTACTTGTGAAGGGATCTGCAGTATGGATGAGCAGAATGTGACACATGTATCTTCATGCTGTGTAATCTGTGTGTTAAAATGCCTCATTTTCCAGGAATATATGTATGTTTGCTGTACTAATTTATTTTTTAGCTGTCTTTCATCAAAAGTCTAAGTTTTCAGGGTCGATACATTGCTTTGAAAAAATGAAGTTCTCCTGTTCCAGGGCACACATCGTATTTGTTTGTATTCTATTAATTATCAAAATAAAGGTAATAAAAGGGAGTTTAAGTCCTGATGCCTTGTTTGACTTTGAGGATGTTGGTTAGGAAGATCCTGATTTGTGTAATAGACAGTAGCTTGAAACATCGAGGAGACAGGTCAGTGCTTCATGGTGTGTGTGTCTATTTGACAGAGAGGCATTAGGCTACTGTTGTAAATCCACTTTGGTCTATTGAGAACTTGTTTGAAAATAGTCTGTTTGGTGTATAAAAGGGATAAAGTAGCAGAAATACTTCACAGTTGTTTTTTGTGAAATGCACCTTAGCATTATCCTGCCTTTCTGTCTTTTGAGGCTGTTGGTGTATTTTAATTGTTCTGTTCTTGCATCTTTTCTTATGTCTTCCTTTTATAAGGGCTAGAACTGTTTGTTAATAAAGGAAAAAAAGCTATTAAAGGATTCTTCTTGTTTGATGAAATCTTAAATAGCTGTGTGTAATGGAATTAAGTCAGGAATCCTGCTAAAGCAGTGACATTTATGGCTGTATTAATGTCTGTAATTTATTTTGAGAACAGATTAAATTTTGATGCCTTCTTCAAATGAACTAATGAAAAAGTAAACAAGTTTAGTGTAATGAATCCCTGTGGGTAGAGAAGGTTTTGCCATTTGCTGAGATAACAAGAAGAAAAATCTTGAAACTTTTCTGAATGGTTGCTTAAAAGTAATGTATTTTACTCAAGCTTGGTATCAAAATGAGGAGCCTTCATCAGCTTTTATTGAACTGCAGTAAAATACAACTCCCACCTCTTATATTGCAGTGAGTTCTGGGCTCAGGATGCAGTTATGCTAGTATGATGCTAGCTGATTAAAGGTTTAACTAACATCTAGTAATGCTGCACCTGGAGCTGTTGAATTTTTGTTTTAGATAAAGATTATTTTCAAAAGTGTGAAGTAGGGACTCTACAAGAAAAGACTTTGTATATTGCTGATCACCTATCATTTTACCCAGTAGCTCCTTTCTATAATGGGAAATGACATCTAAATCAAGAACCGAATCATGACATGGTCTGCAGAAAGTTTCTTTACCTGCCTTTGGCTCTGCTGTGGGCTGGGAAGCTGAAGGATAGTTGCTTGTTGGCTGATCCAGCTTGGGTTAATATATTTGACATTCCCATTACTCAGTTGCATTTTTATACTGGGAAGGGAATGTTTCAATATGTACATATTTTGAGATGTAAGTTGGAAGCACAATATTTGCATGAGTATTCGTAGGGAGTTATTAGTAGGGTTTTCTTTGTTTATTTTTCAAAACTATGATGTACGAAAATAACAGTGATACTGAATTAAGAAGAAACCCTTTAGTTTGGCTTCTAAATATCTGCTGGTGTTATGTTACCTGGTATTAAACATAACCAGCACCTTGCAAATACATGTTTAACTTTCAACCATTTCCTCTGAAAGTGATGCTGGTTTTGAGTTCTATTGCATTCTGTTGCTGTTAACTACATTGAACACAGTACTCTAACATGGAAAAGACTATTGAAGATAATAACTGTGAAACACTGAGTGAACAGTTCAAGTAAAAATACTTGTCATGGTTCTCTATTTTATATGTCTCTTCTGTTGTTTGTGATGCATCTTACATTTGATAGTGACATATCCTTGTTTTCATATTTTTGCTAGGTGATCTTACCAACTCCCACAGTTGACTTTGCACTGATCTTCAAAACAGATATATCTAGAGTCCTGAGTAGTCTGAATACCAACAGCGTTTCTAACAAACCTTGCCTTTCTGAAAGTCTGTCAAATTGGTCAAACACAGTTTTTGTTGTATTTGACCAATTGTATAGATACATGTATGTATGTAAATGCAGCCAAGTAAAAAATAGTAGGCAAACTTTTTAAAATATGTGTAATACAAAGTCTTTTCACGAGAGAGACTGCATGAGGATGGGATTATTGGTTAGTCATAGAAATCAGAAGACCTTTGGATGCATAATGCTAGAGCAGATAAAGTGAATAGCGTGAATTTCAGCGTCTGTTATGAGTACAAGTGGTCTATCAAGAGTCTATCCAAGGGCTGCTACTGCAGCAGTTCTATCACTTCTCTGTGCATGTTGAACAACATGCAGTGAAAACATATTTTAAAAGCTGTCAAACCTTTTATTGTATCCATAAACTAAACACTATCGATAAAATACTGAAACTAGTATATAATCTATTATTTATACAACTTACTGCAGTGAACCTTTGTAACCAGTAATGTTCAGTCTGAACAATGTGTTTAATAAAGCAGATAAGAACCTAAACATAAGAGTAGGTTTAAAAAAACCCCATTGGTTTTACAAACATTATTTAAAATTCTAGGCGAAGAACATATCTAATCAAGGCTGTTTTAAAGATCAGTGGAAATAGTGGGATTTTTAACTGTAAGAAAAGAGTTATGATGCTATGTAGTAGCATATTTAAGTCAGTAATCTTAGTTGCTTGTAAGAAAAAATATAAAGTGCTTGTACATGAAGGAATCATAGAATATCCTGAGTTGGAAGGGGTCCATGACGGTCATTGTCAAACTTCATCATCACTCTAGTCAAACCTCTTCTGTTTTAGGATTCAGGCTTATGACGTATGTGGGAACATCACTTGTAATGTGAACACTGGGAGTCTGTACAGAAAAATCCTTTTCTCCTGATGTATAGACACTCCAACTATGTTAGCTGTTGAACTTTTAACCAGCTTTTTAATATGTGAAAGCTCAGTTCAGGTGAATAAATCAGTCAATTAAAATCAGTTGCTCATAATGAAAAGTCTTGGGAAACTGAAGGTATAAGTGTGAACATCAGGGCTGACACGATATGACAAGTTGTTTCTTAATGCCTTGGCAACATGTTTAGCTTCACAGCTCTTCTTGAGGCTGTGTGTGTTCAGCAGTCACTCACATTGCACAAACTAGAATTTTTGTAAGATATTTAATAAGACACCTGCTGTCTTGAAAATACCTAGTTTTTCAGGCATATTCCATAATTTTTGCTAATCAGTTCAGCAGTAGCAGTTTCTTTTTTATTGTTTTGTGGGGGAGGGATAAGAAAGAGAGCTTTATCTGAGTTCATTTTTGCAGCTTCAGTACGGTGTTCTACTGACACATGTGGCATGCTGATGTTTGTCTCCCTTTCAGAAGAGAAACCTGATTGCTCCAAGGCCCGCTGTGAAGTCCAGTTTTCACCTCGCTGTCCAGAAGATTCCATCTTGATTGAAGGCTATGCTCCTCCTGGTGAATGCTGTCCACTGCCGAGCCGTTGCGTGTGTAATCCTGCAGGCTGCTTGAGGAAGGTTTGCCAACCTGGCTATTTGAATATATTGGTTTCTAAGGCATCTGGAAAGCCAGGGGAGTGCTGCGATCTCTATGAATGCAAACCAGGTAAAAGTCAACATAATTTTTTTTCCCTGTCTGAAAAGCACAATAATCTGTAAATTGCATCTAATGAAGCCTATATAGCCTATAAATTCTTGTGATTCTTCTCTAAAATTAAAATTATGTGGGCAAAAGCCATTAAAAATAAAGATACAAATTATGATGATAAATTCTACTTTTTTCTTTAGTCATTAATTTAAACTGAGCAGCAAAGGAAAAGTCACCAAGTAAGAATGTTGTGTTTCTGTGAATATACTTTATATCCTGGTAGGATTATACAAATGTTTTTCATAGCAGGGATACATTGTGCATGGACAAGAAATTATTATTTCTGTTTTAAGATTTCTTTAGGTTATCAAATGATAACAAAGTCTGGAGAGCAAAAGGATTATGGAGGAGCATATTGAAAAACTTTGCAACATCTTCAGTCTTTATCTATCTTCCATTTCATGAGAACACGAATCACCCTTTATTGTGACTTATTATTCCAATTGAAGTGGAAGAGACAATTCACTCTTTGATCCAGGCCTTTGTAAAGATAAATAATAAAAACAGTAGGCATATAAAATGGTATAATCCAAAACCTTGTATGGAGATAGGTTCAAGTATGCTTAAACTATGCCTTTTCTATTCTTGTTTAACATTTTCTTACATCTTCCACAGAAGATTGCACAGTCTTTGTATATTCCAGTGCTTCTCCTGGTGTTTTTTGTAATATCTGATGCAAATCTGACCATGTGGAAGTTTAAGCAAACTTTTTTGTTTCCTGTCCTGAGTAGTGGTGAATAAGTCTTTACTATAATTTTTGTCATTTTTGACAGTCTTGGGCTTCTTTCATCTAGAATTAGCTAATTTCTTATGACATATCTTCTTTGGACTCCACCCTTGTTATGTTTCCCTTCTACTTGTTTGGGTTTTTTTCATTTTATCCATGTGTCTTTAAAATGTGGTATCCAAAAGCAGTCTAATATTTTGGGAGAGTCTTCACCAGCACTAAATACTGCAGAATAATTGATTTCTGTCTTTCATGCAAAATTCTAAATAAGAGCTAACTGTTTTACAAGATTTATTTCTAGCTGGTGAAATGCTGTGGTCCCAGTATCTTTCTGTAGCATGACTGCTACTGAACCACTGTGTTTGTGTATTTGAATTCTTCATATATGTACTTCACTTATGCCTTCAATGAATTTTGTCTTGGTGATTTGGGATTATTTATCTTTTTCAAAATAAATGTTAGCTCTGATGATGTCTTCCCAACTGTTATTTAAATTCTCATCTTGTAGTTTGCAAATAACTCCATCCAGACTTACCTGTGGAGATTACTTCTTGAAGGCTATTTGCACTTGCTAGTATTACAGAATCTTCAAATTGAATATGTTCTTTATCACATTAGTGAATTTATTTAACTGTGTGTATGTTATCTTCTGAAACAGTTTGTATTTTTTGCTGTAGGGGGTTTTATAGGTGAAGGTACATGAAACTGGAGAAATGAAGATAATTAGGAGGGTAGAAAAGCAGAGGCTTTGAAGAAATTGGGGAAGAAAACTAATGAGATTTAATGGAAGTGTAGATCATTGTAAATGGGCGTTAGAAGTTGAGAGGTGTGGTAATAAACCTTATGTCTTCAGAGTTCGACTTGGAATCACAGAATCATCAGCATTAGAGGAGTCTTCTAAGATCATGAAGTCCAACCATTAACCTGCCACTCCACTGTAACCCCTAAACCATATTCTCCAGCACCAGATCCAGATGCCTCTTCAACACTTCCAGGGGTGGTGACTCCACCACCTCCTTGGGCAACCCATTCCAGTGCCTGATCACCCTAACGGTGAAACATTTTTTCCTACCATCTAATTTGAATCCACCCTGTCTCAGTTTATGACCGTTGCCTCCCTTTCTCACTGCAGGCATGGCAGAATAGACCATCCCCTACCTCTCTACAACCTCCTTTCAGTCAGTTGTAGAGAACAATGAGGTCCCCCCTGAGCTGCCTCTTCTTAAGACTAAACAAACCCAACTTCCTCAACCCTTCCTGGTATGACGTGTTCTAGACCTTCACCGAACTCGCTCCAGCACCAGAATGTCCTTTTTCAAGTGAGGGGTCCAAAACTGAGCACAGTACTCGAGGTGTGGCCTCACCAATGCTGAGTACAGGGGGATGATTGCTTCCCTAGTCCTGCTGGCCAGACTGTTAGTGATATAGGCCAAGATGCCATTGGCCTTCCTGGCCACCTGTGCATACTGATGGGTCACGTTGAGTAGACTGTCCACCAGCACTCCCACATCTTTTTTGATGAACAACTGTCAAGCCAGTCTTCCCCCAGCCTGTAGTGCTGCATGGAGTTTTTGTGTCCTAGGTGCAGGACCCAACACTTCTCCTTATTGAGCCTCATGCAGTTGTCCTCAGCTCACTGATCAAGTCAGTCCAGGTCTCTCTGTAGAGCTTTCCTACACTCAGGCAGATCAACACTCCCACTCAACTTAGTGCTGTTTGCAAATTTACTGAGGGGTGCACTCGATCCTCATGTCCAGATCATCAATACAGATATTAAACAGGACTGGCCCCAGTACTGAGCCCTGGGGAACACCACTAGTGTCCAGCCACCAATTGGATTGAGCTATGTTATCCACAGCTCTCTGGGCCTGGCCATCCAACCAGATTTTTACCCATCAGAGAGTCCACCCATCCTATCCATGAGCAGCCAGTTTTTTAACAGTATGCTGTGGGAGACTGTCAAACGCCTTACTGGAATTCAGATAGATCACATCCACAGCCTTTCCTTCATCCACTAAGTGGGTCACTTTGTCATAGGAGATGAGGTTGGCTTGCAGGTCTGTAGTTCCCCAGATCCTCTTTCTGATCCTTCTTATAGATGGGTGTCACACTTGCTAATTTCCAGTTAGCCGGAACTTCTCCAGTTATCCAGAACTGTTGGTAGATGATTGTCAGTGGTTTAGCAAGTCCTTTAGACAGTTCCCTCATTACCCTAGGGTGGATCTCATCAGGACCTATGGATTTGTGAGCATCCAGCTGACATAGCAAGTGATTAACCATCTCCCCCTGGATTACAGAGTTTTCACTCATCTCCCCATCACCAACTTCCAGCTCTAAGAGCTGGATATCCTGAGGACAACCAGTGTTGACATTAAAGACGGAGGCAAAGAAGGCATTAAGTACCTGTGCCTTATCCACGTTCCCTGTCACTGTACTACATTCTGCATTTATCAAGTGATCAACACCCTCCTTGACCCTCCTTTTGCTCCCAGTGTATTTCTAAAAACTTTTTTTGTTGTCCTTGACTTTAATGTCTAAATCAAATTCCTTCTGGGCTTTAGCCCTCCTAATCTTCTCCCTACATGACCTGTCAGCATTGTTGTAGTCTGCCCAACTTTCCTGACCCTCCTTCCAGAGACGATACACTTTTTCTTTTTTTCTCTCCCAAGCTCCAGCCTAAGTTCTTTGTTCCACAAGGCTGGTTTTTTCCCTTGACAACTTGGCTTCCTACACATAGGGACAGTTTCCTCCTGAATGTTTAACAGTTCTTTTTTCAAACACTCCCAACTTTCCTGTGCTGCTTTACCCTTCAGTACTGACTCCCAAGGGACTCCATCAATCACAGTCCTAAACAAGGCAAAGTCTGACTGCCAGAAGTCCAAGCTGGAAGTTCTGCTGCTGGCCCTCAGTACATAATCCACTGTTGAAAACTTCATCATTTCATAGTCACTATGTCCAAGATGTCCACTGACCACCACATCCCTCAGCAGTCCTTTGTTTTCAAACACCAGGTCCAGCAGAGCACCTCCTCTGGTGGGCTGATTTACCCATTGAGTTAGCGAGTTGTCTTCCACAGACTCCAGGAACTTGATAACCTGAAGAACTGTAGGAAAGAAGAGTTGGAGAGGAACTGAACTAGGGGTGCTCTGTTTTGTGTTTTCTCTGGTTTTAATGCTATATTACTAGAGGGGGAAAATGGGATAGTGGACAGGTAGGATGGTGTTCATGCAGAGTTTCTCCTGGGGCTGATGTCACCAGTTTTACTGAGTATGTCAGCAAGTCCATGGAATTTACATATTGAACAGAGAAAAATGTTTTCTATTTCTTGCCACAGCCTAAAAACTTGAGTTCTGTGAGTACTGCTATCAGAACACTCTTCCTGCACCCCTGTGTCTGCCTAAAGAGCCTCAATAGGGGTTTTGCACCATCAAGGGCTTTCTGGTGGAAACAAATTGCCAGAAGCTAGGAGGACTGCTTCCTGTGACAGCAGTGCTGCCTTATGCCAAGATCAAGTGCTTGCGCAATTAAACCATAAATTGTGTTTATTTCTGTTCCTTAAATAAGGTATCACTGCTCTCTAGTTTACTGTGACATTTGAGTTGGGAGCCTTCTGCCGAGAACTGCGTATGCTCAAATGCTGTGATTGGCAACTGAATTACTGAAAGGAAAATAGAAAGTGTTTCTTTAACACTAAACGCTAGAATAAAAATAAAATTTTTCGTTTTGAGAGTCACTTCCTCTCCTGCCTCTTTTGCTTTAGGAATAAAATTAAAGCATTGCTATTCAGTTAAAATGAACAGTGAAGAAACTTAGTAGCTTAGTCTTACTTGTCTGTTTATCTCCAGATTATTTTGTCTTAAATGTTCTTACCTGTTGCTGCATCAAGCATCTTGTCACAATTTTGGTACCTGGCGAGAGCAAGTATATCATGCTTATTGTTTTGCTGCAATTACAAAGCTCAGAGGTGAGATAACACTGGTCTGGTGCCATAAATAACCTCCTTTATTCCTACAAGCTATTCATAGCTGTGCATTCGTGAGCAGTGAATTTATTGAATGTGCATTGATTTTAGTTTTAAGCTGGGAATTACAGTTCTTAAAATGTGTTTCCAAAACCAAATTTTTTTTTTTTCAAAAATAGTTTGAAAGAGCAATCTCAAATGGAGCTGCATAATGTGTTAACAGTCAAAGTACAAATTATCCAAAACAAGATTTGTGGAAGTATTTGCCCCTCATTGACTAAGAAGCTAAACCACTTAGAACAATGGTCTTCTTTAAATCATGTTTGTTTATTTAAAGATTGAGTTAAAATCTAAATTAGAATGTGTTTTGCTGAAGTGGTGTTAGGAACTCTAGCCACCACTTGTGAATAAAGCAAGCTAAATAGTTTTCTTTGGCAGTTGTCCAACAGATATTTGTTGTACCATTATTGATAACTTTTGTTGTTGTATATAGTGCAATGGGAGTGTCATCTTTTAGTTTCTGACATCCTTGGGAAAGCATTGGGAAATGTCTGTCATGCTAGATGTAACCCATGTTGAAAAGACCACTTATTTGTCATTCTCCTAGCAGTCTTTCTGGCACAGCTTTCATTCACTCACCTCCAGCATTGCCTGAAAATGACTCTTTTTTTTTTTTCTGGTACCGAATATTGGTTTAAACATAGTTGTAAAGAAAATATAATAATAGTTTGGCTTACTACTTTGGGGAATTCTGTACAGTCAGGTCTTGATGGAAACTCCAAGATCAGCAGCAAAATTTAGTGGGTAGTGTGTAATGATGCACAGGGAAGTAACTTGTGCTCCACCCTGGTACAGCTTCAGCATTGAAAATCAGATCTACAACTTTTACAGTCGTGCACTAAGCTCAAGAGTCAGCAAAATCAAGTTTTTATACATAGCTGAAATAGAATTCCATCATAATTTTTATTTCCTGTTGATTGCAGGAATAGTGCATGCATTGTCTTACTGGATGCTTTGTTAGAAGCGGATGTTGAGAAAAATTGAGATATGAGTGGGAAAGGACTGGAGGAAGTGAGTGAGGAAGAATTACAGATTCCTTTCTAATGGAGCTTTAGAAATGGCTTTGAATTGGACAAACTTAAAAGTTTGGTGGTGAGGGAGAGGAAAAAAAAGATCAGAAAATATAGGAGTCTATGTTGGAAATACTTAGGATAGGGGAGCTAGAGGAGTGATTCAGTGATACAGGGCATTGAAAGTCCAGGAATACCATCTGTTCTGGTTGTATGTAATATGTTCTGAAGTGTTAAGGAATGTAAAAAGGATGATGCCTTGTCATGGAGAGATACGTTCGTGCTTCCTTTTTACTTCTTCCAGAACAGAAAGTGTAATTACTATTACCACGTGTAGTTGTGTTGCATTATTCATGAGGAACCAGCTGAAATGCATCTGAACTGAAAGGATATTATGTGATACGACTTAGCGGTGCCTTCTAGAGTCTTAGCTGTGCTGAGCCACTGTGTTGCATTAGAGATGCAGATACTGGCTTGCTGCTGGACCATTTAGATGCATAGGTAGTTACTTAGATTGTGTATATTGTATTAGTTGAAAAGCCACCATAATATGTCAGGGTGAAAATTAATATGCTGGGTTAACATATTCTACTACAAAGTTATTTTCACCTAGGTATTAGTGGTTTCATGATCAGAGACCTTGACTTTTGTAGCCTACAAAGGAGGTATCACATCACTGCAGATATGTCAGGGTCTGCAACTGTGGCAGGGTTTGTGCTATGTTCTTGTAGAGAAATTGGTCACTCACAGATGCTACTGTATACAAATTCAGTGCAGGCGAAAGCTCTTGAAGACTTGTAAGCAAAGGTTTATTGGGTGCGTCTTCACTGTTAGGAAATTGTGACATGTTTGAGTTCTTGAAAATACATAGAATAGGCAAAAATAATTTTTATAGCTTTCATTAAAACATATAATAGCTTATAATAAATCTGTTCATCATATGTAAATGTGATAATTACTGGAATCAAAGAAAGATGTGAAAAGAAAGCTGATAGAGCAAATATTTACAGTCTTATTTTTTAGGACAGCAGTGCACATTATCTGGGAGACATCTTTTTGAGCAATGAAGAATCCAATTATAGGCTGTTCTGTAACCTTACAATATTTTCAGTTTATCCAAAAGTTTGTCTCAATACTTTCTCCAGTTTGAGAAACCCGTTTAAATCTGAAAGAGAACAGGAACTTTTTTTCATCTCTTAGCTGTCTTCATCCCTTTGCTGTAAGGAAAGTATGAGAGAGCTTGAGCTGTGCCACCTGAAGAATAGAAGGCTCAGGGGAGATCTCGTCAATGCATATGAATGCCTGAAGGGGGTGTAAAAAAAAGAGCCAGGTTCTTTTCAGTGGTGCCCAGTGATAGGACCAGAGAGGCAAGGGATGCAAACTGAAACACAGGAGGTTTCCTCTGAACATCAGGTGTCACTTTTTTTGTCGTGAGTGTGATGAAGAACTGGCACAGATGGCCCAGAGAGGTATCTCCATTCATGGAGATACTGAAAAGCCACTCAGGCACAGTCCTGAGCAGCCAGGTCTGTGTGGCTGGCTTGGGAGCTTCCAACAGATCCTATCCTACCTCAGCTGTTTCATGATTAATCTAATAATGTAATAATGAAGAAAAAATTGTTTGAATGCTCTTGATTTGGGGTAGGTTTGTAATTTTTATTTAGTTTGTATTTTTTTTTCAATAAAGACTGGGATGCTTTTCAGTGTTGCTGAGCCATTTACTATCACACTGTGCCCACTGGAATGGAGACATGCTGAGTGGATGTAATTCTGAGACTCATGTCTCATTATTACTGATTCAGTTGTTATTGCTGTGTACCACTGAGGATGAAACTTAAATAATGCAGGACAAGAAGAGGGAAAATAGGACTTCTTTGAAGGTTATCAGCCCTTGCAAGAAGTGTGGTCTAGCATTGTCAAACTGCTTTAGTACTTTAGTAAGCAGCTGTAATAGTGTCAATACTGAAGTGAATTTTAGTCAGTAATCAGGGATATTGTACTGTAAAATTTTCAGTCTGATAAAACTCTGTTCATCCTGTTTGCTTAGTTGGAAGGTAACTCATGTCTTAAAGAGGGAATCATGTTTTATTCTGTACTTTCTTAGTATAATTATGATAAGGGATAGCAAATAGGTAATACCTGAGCTGATTTTATTTGTTAACATGGAAAATTTAGGACCAAATAAGATAAATATGTTTCAGCTTTCCGGAGTATGACACATAGGATTAAATGTGTATTCAGACTGATTATTTTGATATTCTGCATTTCTAAGCATTTGTTGCTTTCTAAAAACTGTTGGTCAGTCTTTCTTGTTAAGCAGAATTCTTCATCTCATTAACCCAGAAAGATTGGATAATTTGCATTGCATCTTCAACCCAGACAAGACATTAATCCATACTGTATCTCTGAGGGTTTTTTAATTTCCTGTTTCCCAAGTATTTTACTGTTTCGACATACTTTAATTAGGAAAAAGAAATAAACAATGATTTGTTTACTATTGAAAAAGCGATAGGGAAGATATATTCTCAGTAAGTTAGTATGTTTCTAGTAACTAATATTTTTCACAGGTGGAACGATTGTTTAAGGTTGCCTGTCTAACTTTGCTTCCTGAGTCAGTAATTTGAAAAAGTGAAACTTAAAGAGAAAGGAAATCTTTTTGTAATGTTACCTAGCAAGCATGTAGTCATTAGATAATTTTTCTGACTTAAAAGGCTGATGCATAAGTGGTTGCTTATGAGGAAGTAATTTGCAAAAAGCTTCTAAAGCATGAGTAAAAGGAATTTTCTTTTTCCCTTCCTCCACAGTGTTCAGTGTGGATTGCAGCACAGTCGAATGTCCTCCTGTTCAACAAGTCGTTTGCCCCCTGGATAGCTATGAAACGCAAGTCAGGCTGACAGCTGATGGCTGCTGCACCTTGCCCACAAGGTTGGTGTCTTGATGACTCACTATTTTTAACTTACTTTCCACCATTCATGTACTGTAAATACAGGATAATAATGCATACTTCTGTGGCAATAAATGTTAAGACAGAATAAAAGATATATGAAGTAGGTGAAAGGTATATCAGTCTGGTGGAAATATGGAATCTACCTTTTTGAAGCAGGAAACCAAAATCTTCTCAGTTCAAATACGTGGAGTTGGTTTTTTGCTAAAATTATTTGAGGAATTCATGCCTCTAGATTGACTTTTAGTTAGTTCAATTAACTTTGCTACACTAAATTCATTTTAGACGCTTTTGGAGGTGGTTGATGGTAAGGAATTAAATTATGGAGATGACAGAAGGTATGCTAGAAAAAATCTGATCTAGTTTAAGGAAAAGTAAATATTAGTTTTTTGTATGTGTAAGAAG